CTAAAAGGAGCAATCGAACAATACAATAGAAACAAAATACTAATGAAAATAAAAGCTATCAAGGATGAATTAATTACACTGAAAAGGGTACTAAATGAAGATACAAAAGCTATCAAGCAAAAGAAGCTAAGAAACAAAAAGTAATGAAAAGAAAATAAGCCAAAGTGCTTCTCTAACATAGAAATGTAAGAAGTAAGCACTAATCCTCTAAAAATGCTACCAGGAGTTAGACATGATGAATTCATCCTTAATTACTAAGAATAATAAGAGGATGAAATCCATCCAAGTCATGGAAGCTTTCCAATAATTGTAGACAAATTTCTTTATCAAATATCAAGGCATGAGAGTGTAGAGACCACAATTTTTGTAATTCCTTTTGAAACCCTAACCTTGAGATTATTTCAATTGAGACCCTGAATTTTGCAAATTTCACTGTAGAACCGAAAATGCAATGTAAAAAAACCCGTACAAAACCTAATCGACCCAGTAGCTTAGTAATCATTTCTAACACTCTAATATTAATTATTGAACTCTTCAATTATAGATTAACCACTCAGAACCCTAATTTTTGGTTTTCACTGTTTTCATTTGATTATTCGCCTTTTAATTTAAAGCAAGATAGTGCAAACCAAGTTATTTTTTCTATCACTAATTTAATTAATTCTACACTTGAAAAAGATATCATAATTCATAAATTGAACCCATGCCCTTACACTTTATTACTATCTCACAATTGCCTCAAAATCATTCTTTATATATAAAATGTACAATTAATTGTAATATTCTTTTTCCTCAAAATATCTACATTATATATAGGAGTTTGTACACAAAAATAAATTGAAGAATCACACAAAATCACACCCACATGGCCAGCCACCCTAGGGGGATTTTTGTTTAGTACTTAGAAAACATAAAACCTTGATTTAGGGATGAATTTTGACCGAGACCCTAGATTCTTGGAGCGATGTTTTGTACTACCTCTCAATCTAGTTCTGACTTAGCTAAATCCATTACTAGATCATGTTTAGTTCTTAATTAGGCCTCTTAATCAACCCTCATTCCATCACACCTTAACTAAATCCAAAACTTTTCCATTCCATTGGAACCAAGGGCATTTTAGACAATTCACCAATTTTTCCTATCAATACACCACCTCCCTCAACACTTTTGCACATCAAGCACACCCACACACCCATATTCGGTCAACAGGGAGAGAGAGAGAGAGAGAGAAGAGCAAAGAGTGATCTTGGAGAAGGAAGGAAGGCGAAAATGAGAAATTCTTGTACAACACTTCCTTAGGCAAAGGAGTAAGCCACAACACAACCTATTCCTTCTTTTCTCTTCTAAATACATGACATTATATGCATATTATACTGTTTTCATATGTTTATGTATAGATCTCTTGTGTTTGAATAGGAGAAGTTGAGCTTTGATTGCTACTTTGCTTATATTCTCTCCTTGTGAAGTAATCACCTATTTCTACCAATATCTTACATTATTTTTTAAGGAACACCTTCAGGCTAAAAATATGAATTATTATTATTATATTATTTAGTATGTTTTCAATATAAAAGAATTGAAAAATTACCCATGGTTGCCCCCTTTTCTTACAAATCTTTTTATTCAAGTTTGGTGCACAAATGACCGGTATTTTCAGCCTACTTCCGAAAATTCTAGAAACATTCATAAAAATCCCCTTGAGCTCATTTTTGTATCAAAACTTTTCTTAAAGTGTTAAATTTCATGTAAATTGTTTTTTATTAAAAATGAATGAGTGGCTTGAGAGAAAAACTGATTTCTGTAACAGTAAATCAATTTGTACAGCACTAAAGTATTTCTTTAATAACTAAAAATCTAGAAAAGCTATCCCATTTCTAAAAGATTATTTTGAAACTAGATGAAATTATCCATGAACCCTAGAATGGCCGAGTTTGGGAAAAATTTGAAAATACCTCTTTGATTGTAATCTTTAAAGTAAACCGAATCTAGAAATTTATTTTTGTTAATTATTTCATGTTCTTAATTTCATGAATGCGCTTCTTATCACTTGTTCAAGCTTTAGTATGGTAAATACATATGTTGTGGCTATATTTCCTTGAAATGGTGCTATGATGTTACTCATACCTGTGTAGAATTTATTTTCTTAATAACTTGTTCTAACATGGGCTTAAATCACCTAACTGAATGGGACATATTAAATGGGGTGGTATTGGGTTTTTGATCACTTGAATAATGATGAGATGATAGTGGATTGATATGATGTGTTCCCTAACTAAAGGTTAAGTCTTGGGCAAGTGGTTGTTTTGGAACACATGGATGGATCGGTTTGTATTCAGACCCTAGTTACTTATGACGGATAAGATTGGAGGTGGTTATATATTTTTACCATCTCTTTTGAGGTCCTCGGTTGGCGCTACGTGGTATGTAGCTGTTGTAGACATTCGGGATAAGGTATATAAAGCAACAAAAGAGGGGACATACTGAATAATCCGAGTCCAATTCTTGCGGTTGGGATGATGAAATCTCTTTAGGGGATTTCTAGATTGCTAACACCTAACTTGTAATCTTTTGCTTGTTTACTTGATTATTATACTTCTTGCTTATTGTAAATGTGGTTGTGTATTGGATTGAAAAAAAAAAAGAGAAAAGAACGGGGTGTGTGTTTCTTTAGGGGATTTCTAGATTACTAACACCCAACTTGTAATCCTTTGCTTGTTTACTTGATTATTATGCTTCTTCCTTATTGTAAATGTGGTTGTGTATTGGATTGGAAAAAATGAACATGGGGCGTGTGTGTGTGTTTATTGGACATTCCAAGCTCAAACCGTTTTGTGCCACGTATTGACGAAATTTATGCGGATTACAGTGAAACAGAAACATCTGAACACATATGGCTATCCTCGAAGAATTTGGATTTAGTAATCATGTTTTACGATTGTAAGTGTTAAAACTCTTGTCGTAATTAAATTATGATCTTGTAATTATTATTTTAGTTATATATACATATATCTTTTCTGAACTTATCCTTATCCTTCCATCAACTTATGTAAACCTTGTGTTAATACCTTGTTAATATCTGTAAAAAAAAAAGATAGCTTTGTTCTCTAAGGAGATTGGACTTTGAAGAGAGGCTATATTGACTCTTTTGATCTTTCTGCGATCTTACTTGTTTATTGACCACAAGACTCATTAGTGACGATTCCTAGACTTATAACCTTAGAAGAACTGTTTATTTATTTTTTTAATATATTCCCAGATATTCCCGATTTTTGGGGCGTTACAGAGAGAAAGAATAGCAATAATAAAAAATGTATATACTCTATCCTTCTTGTCATGCAAATGATCATGGAAAAGATTGATTGTCTTCCTCAATCATCAAACAATATGAATCATTTCATAATGATTATGGAAGCAACTCAAATAATGAAAACAATGATCAAAGTAAGTAAACATCCACCACTCTCATCATGAAATTGATCATGGGAAGATGGACTTCCTTGATCATGAAATGTCATATGGTGATCATAGAAGCAATTCACAAAAATAGAACTATAATCAAAGAAATGAGAAAGAATATGAATCTCTACTCATGTAAAAGAGAAAATAAATGATAAAGTCCATGTAAACTGGATTGATAGATTAGATTGCAAACTATTTCCCCCCCTCCTAAAAAAAAAAAGTGGTACGAAAATAAAAGAAAGTGAAAGAAAATGAGAATGTCGCCCTCTCTAATCACCCAATTGATCCTACAAAACAACCACTAAAGCTTATCAAATCATAAGCAAGAATTGAATTATGAAAATCAAACATGTTTAGAAGATGAGAAAATGAGAGAAAACAAAAGAAAACAACAAGGAATCAAAACAAAACAAGAGATTAGACCAATACCCATTGTACAAGCCCTTAATTATCTCTAACAATTAAAGAAATCTAGAAAATGGAGTGTTTGGGAGGTGAAAAAGCAAGAGAGAAAGTGCAAGAAAACCAGAATTTAACGCTATCAACAAATCCTATAGATGGGATGGCAAATCCCCACCATTATCTGCAATCCCAATCACATCTTAAACAATAGCAAATTCATAATTATAGAGTGTTTGGCAAGAGAGAAATAAAAGAAAATAGACAAGAAAGTGATGAGAAAGTTTCAACAGATTACCTCAAGCAAAGGAGGAAGAGCTCTTTGGTTGGCAATCCTCACTCTAGTCACCCTCAAATCTTTGAATTCAATCTTCAACCTCAAGAAAAAGTTTCAATCCATCAAGCATCATTGGATTTTGTATGTATATCTATGTATAGAGAGAGAAATTAAGAATTCAAGTGCTTTGAGAACAATTTGGTGTCTCTATGCTCTTGTAATTCTTCCAACCCCTCAATCCCTTGACTAAGAGGTGTATTTATAGGCCGGGAGATGCCTTGCTTTGCAATTCCACCAAGCATTACGGAGGTGGCATCTTCTCACTTGCATTGGGGACCATCTTTTAGAAATTGCTCAATTTATTACCCAAGTTGTTCGACCAGCCAAATTGTCCAACCATATCTTTCGTGTACGGTTAATGTCAAAATGAGGTGCAAATAGGGTATTTCCAATGGATTCTCCCCCTTTTCATTCATTTATACTCTGCATTTGCTTTGTTTTCGAAAAATACAAAGTTTGGATTTAAATATGAGCTTGAACATTGTAGAGTGCTTGGATTCTACAAGTCTAAAGCATTTCCAAAATAGTTATAAAGGTCTAAAAATAGTTTTGGCCAAAACGGTATGAGGCTGAGATCCGCTTTCAACCATGGCTTTCATTGAATATATCGAAGACTTGCGCATTCCTATTTTTATCATCGGATGACTAGAGTGAGGTGCCAAAATCTTAAGACTTGTCAAAATAGGGTGTCTACAATTGGTGCATAATACAAGTTGTTTTAACTTGGCACACCTCTCCTTTTGGAATAATAAAACCAAATGCACTAAAAAACAATCGTGTGTAGAAAGAACATATTGAAGATTACCAATTTCCTTCCAGTTTCATTGCGAATACCAGCTCCGCCAGAAGCATAATTTACACCCATGAGGATGTCCCGATCTAGTGCACGTGCAAATGATGGAATGAAATCATCAAAACCTAAATGTTCAGCTGCAAGGTGAGGAGAGAAATTAGATGGACATCAGACTACTATCTTAAGATCTTAAGATTATTATATGATAGACTTGGTATTTTTGGCATTTAAAAATGTGATAGATTTTTGTTCAGTAACAAATGCCATGGATAAAAAGTTATGCTATGAGAAATGCCAACAAAAATTCATTCAAGTCTAAAAATCTCAATGCTAGTAGTTTGAGAGTAAGAAAAGACCGATGATATCTGATATAGTTCGACCGTTGCAAAATCTTCCAGTAGGTCCTTCAGGGAAATCAATGCCATATGGTTGGTAATTGGATTTTGCTAAACTTCCAACATTATTATTGCCATTATCAGCTAATGAGTCTCCGAAGATGAAGAAACAAGGTACTTCTGGTTTAGCATGAACCCATGGTTGCAAGCTTGCAACCAATGATATTATCGACACCATAAACCAAATCTTAATCTGAAGATTAGTCAACAATAGGAGAGAAAAAATTACTATAGCATAAGGTAATGTGAAGGTTGGGAGAAAACCAAAAGAAAAATTACATATAGACCCACCAATGATGATTAAGAGCAAGTTAGTATAGAGTGCATTAACAGCCAGGGTGTGAATAAAATTTGGTTTGAAATTTGAATTACGTATTGAATTAAGGAATGACCACTCTATAGGAATCTCTACAAACCATGTGCTTGGAAAAAAAATTACAACTGATATCACATTCATTGTAGCATTTTGACTGACATCAAATTTTGTTAAAGTTTATTTTTGTAAATGGTAAAGTGGATGGAAAATCAGAGTACCTAAAGCTCATGGAATTAATGGGATTAGTTTTTATTATAAAATTGTGTTTCATGATAAGAAAAGAGTTTTTATTCCATATTGAAGAAGTGAGGAAAATCAAGCCTAAAAGGAGGATCATATCCCCAGCTTAAGTTTTGCCCATAATGCTTTCCCGTTTCTGTTATACTTTAAGTGTTCTTTTTCTTTCTTTTTCTTTGGGTCGTTTGGCTTAGCATATGATTGGCATTGGCTCATGTGCCAATCTAGCAGGGATATGTTCTTAGTGCAATGATGCTTTTTGCCTTAGCTTTGTTATTGATATCTTTCGTTTACCTATTGTACTCTTTTCTCACATCATTAAATTTATTTTGTTGATCAAAAAAAGAAAAAAATTTGTGAAGCGAGGTTTGTGCAAGTAGAAATTGGTAAACAAACAATAGAGAAAACTTTCTCATAAAATTTTGGAGTTAACTACACCAACACCCCTTCACTTTAGGAGTATCACTTTACCTTTCTTATCTATAATCCTGCACAAAATGACTCTCTAAACTATAAAAATCATACAAATTCACCCCTTCTAGAAATGGTCTCGAAGGTGTAAAAGCAATAGATATTTATAGTTGAAGGTGTAAAAATGAACGGTTTCATAGATGATTGGGTAAAGTGATATTTGCTAATAGTTGAGAGGGTCTTGGTGTAATTAATCTAAAATTTTATTATTCAAGATTCTTTGGACAATGAGCCAAAAAGTCTTGAATAACCAAATTTATAATAATAGAGAAACAATAAGTCTAGTAAGAAACAAGCATAATAGTGAATTTCACACTAATCAATCAAAAATAAAATTTAAAATTAAAAATTAGAAATTACTAAAATATCAAATATGATCAAATACGGCTACTAGATAATTGGAGAAGTGCATCGAAATAGTTAATCTTTAGTGCTTGCCATGTCTTATGTGCTTTGCTTCCTTCGTTGAGTGTTATTTTTTTTTTCTTTAGCTAAAATACTTAATCTTTCTAATTGGTCTTACATAAATAGAGGGAACAAATTGAGAACAAATTCCACATGTAATGTATTGAGCGTCTTATGCCAAAACATGGACAAAAAGTCTCTATTTTTATGGTTGGCCAAAAATGCATTCAGTGGTACTTAAATATTCCGGGTTTATTGGTATTTTTCTTTGGTTATGAGACAAGATGTTTCCTTATTAGGCGTGTGATGTCCGAGTTTGAGCTTTATTGTTATGTTATTTAGTTTCCTATTATCCTTGTTTGTTCTACCAATTTGTTGGTATTTTTCTTTGGTTATGAGATAAGATGTTTCCTTATTAGGTGTGTAATGTTAGAGTTTGACTTTTATTGTTACGCTATGCAATTTCCTATTTTCCTTGTCTCCTTTGCAAATTTTTTATTTTTATTTTTTTAAAATGTGAGATAGATAGGAAATTAAAATTTTTAACTATAAATTAAAATTATTGTTTCCACATGGAAAGTAATATTTTGCACCAAAAACATTTTATCATTTTATTTAATGTCTTGCATGTATTCATACAATGATGAGTGTATGTGTATTGATATAGCATCCACCACATTTAAAAAAATAATGAGACAATTGGTACTCACCATAACACATGAAAATTCACATAAGAAGAAAAGAATTAGAGTAATATGTTCAGATGATTTACAACATCCCTCGTCTTATTGAAATAAAACTTTAGTGTAACACTGATACCATGTTATTATCGGTACCTAATATCACAATCTAATGATAGAAAACTACATAGAATTGTGAGCCCCAGTATGTAAATGTAACTGTCCTATCTAATTGAATTCACTAACACATTTGTATAATGTGGTAGACTATGCCTACATGATACTTCATCATTAGCCAACAATATCACATGTCAATGATGATGTTGTATCACTAATTTAATGATTTTTTTTTTCTCTCTTTGCAAGTATGTGATTGTGTAAGATGCCACCATTGACTTACATATATTTTGTATTTTATTCCTTTCTACTAAATTTTTTTAATTAGACCAAATTCAATTATAGAACTGGATACAATCCTTTTCCATGAAATGGATCCTCACCAGGATTGGGTCCATTGCACAGAAAAAGTTGCTTTTAACTCGGCATGCATGACTATCTTTTTTAATAATGAAACCAAATGCACACCCACAATATTGAAAATTTAGTTGTATATCATTATGCATCAAAATTTCTTTTGTATTAGTGCAGTTGTGAAACAAGAATTGTGCAATAAAAAATTGACGAACAAGCAATAGAGGAAACTTTCTTCCAAATTTTAGGAAAAGTTTATGGTGTGCACCTTTTAAAAAGCAGGCACATCATATGAAAGTTGTACTTTTGTGGTGAAAGTTACGGATGTTTGTTGTGTGTTATGCAATTTTTGGTAAAAGTTATGAATGAAAAATTTATGGTGTGCATCCTAAAATGAAAGTCATACTTTTTGTGGTGAGAAAAGTTATGCAATTTTATGGTTTATGTTACAGAATTTTGTGGTGTTGTTATGAAGTACATACCATAAGCACCATTTCAAACATGTACATAGTACCATTTCTGTTTTCCCTATTATTTTCATAGGTGCAGGAGAAATAGTGAGAAAATGTGTTCAGTTGAGAAATGCATGGGCACCTTTTTAACAAGACATTTGGCAACTCATGTTGAGCAGTGCAAGAAGCATTTAAGGTTCTTTGCTAAAACAAAAGCACATGTAAAATTAATGGGTAGTTACAAGCAAATGTTGCTATATGACAAATAGCAAAGCCTTGATACTGGTGACAGTTGCATGATGTTGTGCACTACCTATGATCGAGAAATGAAGAAATTACTAAAAGAAGAGTAGTGGTAGTTGTTAATATATATTTCTTTCAATTCTAGTGTAATTTAGAGGTTTACTAAAAAACCTTAATTTTCTATACTCAATTTCTTTCGTTTCATAGTTCTAAGGAAATCCTTGAAAAAGGCCAGTATAGGACTTTGTTTTAAATGCAGACAACAACAATGAAGATATAAATGTTGTTTCTTCGAGCGACAATATTCAAGAAGACCAAACAATGGTTGTCTAAGACCAAGAAACCGACTAGGAGATGATTAATTGAGGCCAGGCAAGTGGCTTTGTTATTTCACATGTCAATAACTTGGTTTCTCAAACTAGGCATGAAATGGCAAGCCTATCAAAAGAGAACAAAAAATTGACTGTTGAAGTGAGACGTTTTCTTGATTGCTTCTTTTACAAAACAAACCACATGAATGAAGGAAGAGAATGGAATCAACAGGGAAAACACCAATGTTCCTTCATTACCTCCCCCCAGAACATTGAAACCACCAACGATTCCACCAGTTGGAGAACCTATAGATTTTTAATAGGAATTTCACTTTCCGAAAGGAGATAGAAGGTGTGTTTGAAACTTGTAATTTCAAACATAATTTAAATAAAAATAGAGAAATGACTAGACCTTGGGGGAAGGATGAGGAATGGGGGAGGAGAGCAAATTAGACTTCCTGCTTTGGTTGATCCAACATTTGTAGATCAAAGACCTAGGGAAAATTTTGATCTTGTATATGAAGATCAAAGACCTACGAGGCATAGATATCTAGTTCAAAATCGAGATTTTGAGGATCATAAGCCATGGGAACAAGATTTTGAGGATCATAAGCCATGGGAACAAGATTTAAATGTACTAATAATTAACCACAATCATATGGCAAAGGAATGAAATCATGGAAATGGAACAAGAAATGTATAGACTAGGCCTCAGGAGGCCAGAAAGACAAATGTTCAAAAAAAATCATACTATAGACACCTTATTTTGGTTGGTTATAATACTTTGCCCCACTTTGAAAACACCACCCGATGATGAGTATAAGAAATGGTTTTGGACTACCGATTTGTCAATTGTTAGTAGAACTAGATGCACCTTAATGGACTTTAGCCTACCAAGCAACCTAGCCAACCTTTCTATACCTATTTGACCCACATTGGGTTCTGACAATGAAATTAATTTTTATTCTCTCTAACCTTGCATAAATTCAAAAAGGGTATTGTTTTCTGTACATCAATTTATGTAATAGAAAAAACTTTAGAATTTTGAAAATTGTAAACACAAGTTTGTAGTATTTTCAAAGAGCTTTCCAATGATGTAAAATTCATCAAAATCCAATTTCAAAATAAGTTTTAGTAGACATTTTCTAATTGCTTGTCAATTTTTGACCAAAAAAAGAAGAAGAAGAAGAAGATAAAATGGTCTTTTATAAAAACTACAAACTAGACATGCAGCTGGCCTTTTCTATTTTATTATTTAAATTCGACCAATTTTTAGAAAAATGGGTTGCCAAAGCCCAAAACTCATTTTGAAAACACTCTCCATCTCCTAGAGTTTGCAAAATATAGAAAATGTGGTAGGCTGCCCCATGCAGGTGTAAACACCTCTATTTTCCCAGTAATGACAATCCAAGAGGAGGGAGGGGGTGAATTCGGTTTATGAAATATTTAACCAATAATGAAAACTAATGGAGTTTGAACTAACTTAGAAATAAATCATAGATATAAAACTAAGCAATCAAGCTATAACTAATGAATGTGCAATGCAAACAATCTCATAAGGAAAATAAAGCAAAGATAAGAGAAAGGAGAAA